TTAGAGTTCCCAAAACCACAGTAGATTAAAATTACGTAATGAACCAACTGTGGCAAATGAGCATATACTGTAAATACATGCATGTAAAAATGTGTATTTTCCCATCATTTATGATAAGTCAAGCAAATATTACAAATAAAAAAGTGTAATTGTATGTCATTTACAGTAAGTTGCATACGACCTCATGAAAATGGAATTTTAAAAAAAAAGGTGAAAATTTTTATTTTTTTTAAAGAGAAAAAAGGATTTTGTGCAAATCCAAGCAGGGTTCCCCCTCATTTATTAAAAAAACAATAATAGGAGAAGCCTACTTGGCAGGTCTATTATATCATAGACTGCATCAGAGCTGGTGCGATTTTTGTGAAGTACAGCGGAGTCCACTTAAACAGAAACCTACAGGAATTTCTTCTGTTTAGCAAAATTGTTCAAATAACGTAGAAAAAAAATATATAATCGAGGATTTCATGTTCTTTCAGTTTTACCACCATTTTCGGATTATCTATGTTCACATGTAAGCAGACTCTCTTGTATGTCATGATGTGTGTGAGTGTGTGTGTGAGTACACTAATTTGGAAGTGATAGCAGATGCAACTCAGATCTTAATGTAGAACATAATCTAAAACTTAAGTATAGCTTCCTTAAATCAGGATTCAGAAGATTCAAATTTTTGGTGAGCAGTAGTCTACTTTTCATTTTCTTTTGCGATCTGAAAAAGGTGGCTCATACTTTTTTTTAAAGGTGCCAAATGTGAAACAATTGAAAAAATCATGTACATGTACTCACAGGTAAAGCACCACGCCCAGCAGGTAGATGAAGAGACTCATCGTGGCAGCAAACAGCAGGTTGCCCCACACCTTGAGCTGATCCCACGCCACGCTGCACCATTCCTCTGGGGGGAAATAAACCAAACAATATACAGTATAACACGAATAGGTCAAATTCGTTGGGACCGGCCTCGGTAGTTCGAGGGATATCTTACACAGATAAAGAAGTAGAAAAAAAAAATGGGACCGCATACACAGTCCGACGGATGTGTGATTTCGAGTCTTCTGTGCTCAATCTATCTGTGCTATACTGTACAATACAATGCTTTACAAACAGCACAGCAAAAAGCACGCAGTTGTACTACAGTGGTCACCTTCTCACTGCAACCTGTTTGGGAACGCAATAGCTCTGAGACTGGGAATATCCATTTCACACTCTGCAGTCACACAGCCAGCAGTACAAAATACCCCATTTGGTCACTCTACCAGGAGAGTGACCGCAACGAACTTCTCTGGCCTGGCGCAGTTCAGAACTGCGCCAGTTTACCGGGCCGGATAATTTTAACAGTCGCATCATTGTGCCACGTGACCGCAAAGTGTTAAAGATGAACGAGAAGAAGACAAACAGCAAACATAGTTGGCTGGTTTTAAATCCAGACTTGAACAGCAACTCTTAAGAATAAATCTTAGTTTTGGTAAGAGTTTTACGGCACATGCAACACAATAAGTAAGAAAATCTCGACAGTCGACGAGAGTCATATGATGCTGATCCCAAACAATGTAGCTCTAATCCTCTTGGAAACAAACAACACGACTCTACCGCAAACTCACATAACTGCCAGGTCACATGACACTCATCTCACGACATCTCTTCCAGAAATTAAAAAAAAAAGAAAGAAAGATCCAGCACAAAGCAGAAGAGCCATATGAAGCTGATCTAACACCAAGTTGTACATTAACACAACAGTGGTCATTAAGAGCAGGGGAAAAAAAATAAAGACAAGTGACAGAAACAACAGTGGGAAAGAAAAGAAGCAGGACCAACTAGTTACATCCTCTAATCACCCATTCACCAATCCTCTGATGAAACAAAACACCAATACTTTTGAAAATAGCTCACTGTGGGTAAGTCAATACGATGTTGGGCTCAGTGTGAACCCTGAGCTGAACTCTGGTTGATACATATAATATATGATATATAACATTTCGTGTCATAGAATGATACAACAGAAAACAACATCCCATCAGGAAATAGGAACCACCTTCAACTGCCTACTTAGTTAAAAATGAGGCCATCTGATAATGAGTAACTCCAGATATGCACAATAAGATTAATAGAGTGGTTTTTAAAATTGCCTTTTAACACCCCCCCCCCCCCAAATAAATAACCACGACTCGCAGAGCTATACATAGATAGACAAAACTCCTGACAACACAAACACCCCCCCCCCCTAAAAAAAACAACCCCACCTTCAACCTGGCCCAAATAATCATATACTAAATATATCAAAAGCAGTTACAGTATCTCTGCCACATGGAGTGTGTACAGAGAGGGCAATCACACTGACCTCAGATAAAACAAAAACAGGCCAAGACAAACAAACAGACACCTGACTGGGCAGCCCATTCCACCTGATAACCTACCTAGATGATAAGAAGGAGGCTGCCACTGTGTGCAAGGTTTTGCTTGTTAAGTAAAAAGAAGCACATTGGCTGTTATACCATAACTTTTATATAGTGCAGGGGAAAAGTTAGACAGAGAGAGTGGTTGGCAGGTACACTGGTGTGATTTGCTCCTCGTTTCCTATCACACTCCCATCATCCGTATCTCTCCTCCTTGTACAGAAGGGCGAGAGCCTCATTTTCTTTGTATATTGCTATTCAGTAACACCTCTAAACGTTGGCACTTAGATATCCTATTCATGCTGCAAGTGCCTTAAATCTCTTAATAAAACATACGCTGCCCATGTATAACTATTTATTGCCATGGTTATCACAATCATACAATCCCCCCCC